CACCCCCCCCCCCACCGTCACCCCCAGCGTCAGCCTCAGCCTCAGCCTCAGCCTCACCTCCTCTGAGTCTGGAGAGAAGACCTGGTTCTGACGGAGACTCGAGAAAAACTCTGAGTTTGTCCTGAAGCCACAGTGAAGTACATTAAAGAGTAATTCACACGCAGTACGTGCAGTAAAAAAATAAATACTTTTATGCAAAGTACGATATTACTATTTCAATTATGTGTGTGCGCTAGTATTTATTACTGCAGGGAATATTGAACTATATCAGAGGTGGTTAGCATACAGGAGTCAAACTCAGGCCCGCGGCCCAAATCTGGTCCGCAGTGTAATTATATTTGGCCCGCGAGATCATATCAAATGTATATTAGAGCAGGCCCAGCAGAATATACAGCCAGATCAGGAGAGAAGATAAAAACATGAACAATTACAGTCAATTTTTCAAAGAATATTAATTTTGTCCCACTGTGAGTTTGAGTTTGACTCCCCCTGGGTTAGTATAATTGAAAATGCATATGCAGTATTTTCTTAATTCAGGTGAGTATCCAATGCTCGTACTTTTAATTAGGAACGATAGAATCCAGCCGTAATTTTTTTTTTTTTTTTTTAAAGAGGAAAACAGGGTGGAGAGATTTAGGGACCGTGTAGAAGTGACATCATCAGCCCTGATGCTGTGAGACGATCAGTCACATGATCGGCTGGTGCTGGTAAGACTGGTCAACCTGAAGAAGAACCCTGATCTAACAAGTGCCTCACACATTTCATTGCTAAGTGTCATGTAGTATTTTAGGCTCCGGGGGGCGTCGGTCCAACAAATGAAATCTCTGAATCAGGATACATGAACGTGTGACAAAACAACTCCCTGGAGAGGATGAGTGTTCCAGGGCGGTGCATCATGGGAGGAACCACATGTACAGTAACTGAGGCTGAGGTCAGAGGCTGAGGTCAGAGGTCAGGGCTTGATGTTCACGACATGGCAGCAGGGTGTGGTCTGTGGTGTTTGATTAGTCCACAGGTTTGTGTTGTTCACAGACGGCAGTGAAACAGTTACTAACTGAACACTCTGTTCCGATACACGGTTACTACGAGTATTTTCACATTTACTCCACAGTACGAGCGTCTCTGAACTTCATCAATACTTCGACCAAAGACGAAAGAAACGACAACAGAAACACACGGTGCCCTCTCTGACACAGGTCACCGGGTCATGTGGGGGGTCAGGGAGGTCAAAGGGGGGTCAAGGCGTGTACTCTGTGTAATCCAAAATAAAACCAGCAGGGCTGTACATGAGACACAGTACTCTACAGTACCATACCTGGTTCAGAAAATCCAGACACACAAAGCAGTAAAGTAAAAATATTTCTCAAATGGAAATATTATTAGTTAGTTAATAATTATCAATCGAAATCAAATGGCTAACAGGGATGGTCCGATATTAGCACAATTATGTCAAATCTGTAAGAATCGTTATTGGTTTTTCCTCCGATAATGAAAACCCGATAACGCAATGTCTGGGTTTCAGCAAATGATGTGAGACCTAAAAAAAAAAAGGGTTTAGGGGAAAAACGGCTGTATATGAAAGTGAACATCACTAGAGGGCAGCATTGCAGCTCATTTTATTTATTTATTTTTTTGTATGGATAATCCTGGTGCCAACAACTCCTACATTGGTTTGTACAGAAAGATTACCAGGCCTACATCGGTATCGGTAGATATCGGAAACAGAAATCGGAAAGTGTTTGGACAATATCGGCATATCGGATACACATGTGAAATTATCCATGCCCCTCCCCACGAAACAAAAATCTGAATTCTTCAAGGGAAACCAGCAGATTCTTTTGGAGGAGGGTAAAAAGATCTTAGAAAAAGAATCACACTTCCCCGACCGACGGAGGATCGCGGTTCAATATCACGCACAGATACAGACAGTATTTTTGGTACAACTTAATATTTCTGACTTCTGGACCATCAGACTCATCTGGTCTTTCTCTTTGTAAATAGTGGAATAGTAGAATAGTGAGGTGACTGTACCAGTGTTCCCTGTCCTTTGTGACTTTTTCAGCTGGTTCTCCTGGTCCTTCCTCTCAGACTACTGGATCTGTTCTCCTCCATGTTCCCTGTGTGTCATCAAAAGAGCTTTACCTGCACATATTCGTCTTTGAAACCATCGCCTTTGCTGATGAAATATACAGTAACTTCTTTGTTTCCAGCTGCTGTGCACAGACTACCACGATGTAAAAAAAACACCCTCTCTTGCTTGTTAGCAGAGTTTAGTCTCTCAAACCTAAACTTTAAATTACAAAAGAATTTTGAAAAGAAATTCCTTCTTCTGGTTCATGTGGTCAGAGTCAGTTTTAGCTGCTGGTGATTTTTCTGTCATCTCAGACTAAATAACAGTTATAGAGAAAATCTACTACTACAGAGTTTTCTCAGCTGTGAAGGAACCTACTCCACGATCACAGTTATTTGTCCCAGGAAATAGAAGAAAACGAAGCAGAATTTGGTTTCATCGGTCAATCAACATGTTGAGGCCGGTGTGAAGACAAAACAACAAACAAAACAACAAAAACTGTCAATCATATCGTTACAACCAAACTTTTGAGGAAATAGAAAAACACTACCTCAAAACTCTCCTCATTTTCTTTTTTTCTTTTCTTTTAAATATTTAGAATTATATGTTCCTTAAATCTGTCACGTCTTTTCTCCTAAAACCTCGGACAGGACCGTCAACGTTCCTCACTCCCTTCAGGACAAGTGTGATTTATAATTTTCCCATCAGCCATCTGGTTTGGCTTGGCCTATTAGGAAACATACAGTGAGCGACCGAGTTCACAACACACACACAAACACACACAAATGCAGCAGATGGAAGAGGCCCCGAACTGATGCCTGTGTTGAAGCCCCTCCCACTGTGGGGGCCCCCATTGTCAGGACTTGGAAGTCAACAAAGACCCTCAGTCCACACTGTTATTATGAATGTAATATATATATATATGTATATATGTATACTGTATATATATATATAGGTTCATATATATAAACATATAGCTTATATTTATATATATATACTGTATACTCCTATATATATAAATATATATACATACATATATATCATACAGTATATACATATATGTGTGTAGTAGTGACCATATACTGTAAGAATTGAATCTCATTGTGTCATAGAGCAACATAAAATGCATATAATGTATATAACGTATAAAGTATTTTCAGTTTATATGAGTAAATATATATATATATTTATCATTATTTTCATTTCCACAGCAGCTCCCGAGCCAAAAAAGTGTGGACGCCCCAGCACCACGCTGTACATTCTTACACTTGTTTAGTGTCTAGGCTGCAGAGAGACGATCAATGAAGGAAACAATAATTCCACTGATCATCCTCATCATCATCGTCATCATCACCATCATCATCCTCATCATCATCGTCATCATCGTCCTCATCATCATCATCGTCATCATCATCATCATCATCATCCTCATCATCATCATCCTCATCATCATCAGAGCGCTTATCTGTGTGTGTGTTATTTAACAGCCAGTGTACAGAGGAAGTGACAGCTCGTCCTTGAACTGCTGCCCTCACTACACCCCCCCTGTCCCCCGGTTGGTGAAACCACATTAACTGGTGACTGTTACAGAGAACATTACGCTGATCCATACTCGGGCGGCCGGCCCACCACAGCCCTGGGCTGTGTCATTACTGGGAAGTGACTGTGTTGCCAGGTGACCCCGCCCCAGGTATTCATCAGGACTGAGAGTCAGTGAGACCCTGTGATGAACAACCTCCTCCTGCTAATGAAAAAAAAAAAAACAAACAAACCCAACTGTAATTAATGTCTTTGAAGATTCTCATTCATCCAAGTCTGTTATTGTAAAGAGTTTGGTTGTAGATATCGTGACCTG